CGTTGTCCCTGCACCTAGTGCACAAAGGTTTTCTATGGAATTTTAAGTAGCAGAGTACATCGCGTATGCTACTTGAAATGCACGTTTTTTGATAAAAGCACAATTGGCGTCAAGTTTGTCTTGAGATTTGCTTAGCGCATTGCGAAGTTGTAGTTGAAAGTTCTGTAAAAAAAAAAGAATGAACAAATACAACTTGAAACATGAATATAGTGCCAAGGATTTCAACGACTTTCTGAGAAATTTGCGATTTTCAAGCATCTGCAGAAGCCTTTTATTGTCACGTAGCTGTTCGTGGTAGAATTTAGTTAAATTGAGTGGAGTAGAGCAATGAAATGAAATTGTGCCATAAAGCAGTTTTTGTAGGAGAGATCTCTTGTCTCTGAAATGAGTGACTTCACGGCCATCCAGCATTTTCCCCACTACACTGATCCGTTCTCGCTATATGTTTCCCTTCAAAATTATCTATTTTCACCGTTAAACTCATCCCGCGAAAGAGGCGATGGTGATCTTATCAAATATTGTGGCTAACGTACCTGCGTCGTATCATACTCAAAACAAACCGTAGACGCCTTTTAAGCTGAATTGTGTAAAGCATCACGCTAAGCACAACATCACAAAAATTGACCCACAGCCATAGTGGACACAAGAGAATATGTCTGTAATGCACTTAATAATCAAGTACGAAGGACTGAACTTGCAGTAAAAGTCTAGTGGCTATAGAATTCCCCATTCCATTCACATCTTTTCTGCAACTTCGCAGAAATCTCATATTCATTACTCAGTTGATATAGCGCCGTAGGCTCCTAGTAGTGAATTAATGGTCTGCAAGCGCATTCCTAGAGTTATGCGGAATCTCAATTATCAATTTGGAGATTTTGAAGACCATCGTGGACATCGGAGTTCACTGAGAGAAAACAAATCGCGCAAGAATCACTTGAGCTCTGCATGGATAAACATACCTTTGTCTTTGGTAAGCTTGACAAGTATCCTACAAATCTCTATTGTACCTAATGCCATTAATTCTCCATAATTGTCATCTTAAAAGTCACTATGTAGACAAATAGTTTTGCACAACAATCACCAAAAATTGCAATGTATCTCGAGGAACCAGTGGATGGGACAGCAAAGACTATTTTTTCACGCAAGCATTTTCCTGTATAAAAGAGCAGTGTTTGGACGCATCACATCACTCTTGCAGCTCTCATTCAACTTTATCCCTTTCTAGTTCATCCGATACGACTGAAAAGATCTACGTCTCAAGGAGGAAATACCATAGACATTTAGAACTTGGAAATTCCTTACGTTTATGGAACGTACGGAGGATCGATGACTGGCGCGAAAATTTTATGACAAATATTGAAGGTTTAACGTTGGAATTCATGAGAAATAAGAAAAATGGCAGAAAAATCAATGAGGATATCGGAACTTACGCAAAATCCACAAAGACATTATAGGAATTGCATGCAATGTTATACTCCGGTTGGTCGGAGTGTATGTTAAACGCACCAAAATGGCCAATAATTGCTCAAAGGCAAAAGAAAAGCGATCAGAAACAATCTGAGAAGTAGTCACCCTGCGTCAAGCAGAATCCAAGAACGTGTACCTTATCTCAACTCTGGCAATGGAAAAAATAACTGCTACATGTGTGAGCATACATTTATTCATGAGTGCGTAGGTGTTCATACATAAAATGATGTAATCAACGGGGCGAGGTGGCAAATTGTGTGACCGAAGAGTACAGCAAGTGTAGATTTCTACGCCCCATGTCATATCTCGAGAAAGTGCGCTTAAGTAATCGTAAGTTCCCCATCAAGGACAACGTCGAGGAAATGGTTCAATTTAGTATCGAAATTACTTCCCGACCATGAAAATTTCTCAAGCTACTCATTATCTTCGCGCGATTTCATTTCATGAAAATTCACCCTGAAAAGGTAAATGAGGTACGAATTCAGAAATTCAAAACTCGACCTTCAACCAAAATCACAATCCATTTTCGTGTGCATTAAGTATGTGATCTTATTTCGTGAAAAGCGGGAAGCAAGAAAAAAAAGCAGACAACTCATCAAGCAAACTCTACTTGAACACAGCAACCCACGTCTAGAGTGTATGAAGAAACCGTCAGAGTTGTCCACAATGTTCCGATGGGGCGGAGAATGGCAGAAGATCATTGAGAACCAAGCGTATTCGATTCGTTATTGATGGCTAACTTTCAAAGTTTGATAATACCACGATACTATTGAGTTCCAGGGAGAAAAAGTTTCAGCCGAACAAGCAGCACCTTCAAACAAATTCGTTTCTAAGGTATTCTGGAATATGTCCTTAAACCCGCCCACTTTTCGTTTTTTTTTTTTCGTAGAATTTCTACCTGAGCTAAAGTTCTAAGCTCTATGAAGCTCTCGGCGTTGATCAATCCCTGAGGGGCTGCACCATGCATTCGTCTTCAATCTTAAACTTCGTTTGATGTGATTGAATGTATATCTGGCCCTTTGCAATGACTCGCGGTGACCTCTCGCTGAACCGAGTCAGTGCTGCTTACCCTCCTAGACAAGTCTGAGACCAGTCTGGCAGCAGTTTACCGACCCTGGAGGTATGGATGACTTGGTGAGTATTGAGCGCGAGATCGAACCACTGACCTCGTGTACGACGCAGAGCACCTCTAACCATTGCGCACAACCCGAGATAATGCATCAATATTAATATCGTTTGTGGACGAAGATAGATCTAATTTACAGAATTTTGCGATGATCTTTTTAGAAAGATCTCATCGTTGTTCCTCAATCATTTCACGGCCTATCAATCACACCTTGGCTGATCATCACATTAAAATCGTACTGGATCAATAAATGATAGTCAATTCTGAAGCGGCCAATTATTATGTTGAGATCGGTTTCTATTCCTCGGTTTACAAAAGAGAAAGAGGATCTAAAAAGTTTAAAGAGCTGTAGTAAAATGGATGTAAAAGTCGTTCAAGGAGGTGTATGTAAGGAAAAATGTACACATTCTGGTGAGAAGACTAAACTTATTATTAAAAGGAGGGTGGACATCAAAGTCATTTATTTGTTGTCTTTGACTGGTTGATAATATAAAATTAACTGTGAAAAGTAACAGAAACGAGAAATAGAGAACTTACTGCATTGAAAAAAATGCTTAATGGATTCCTTGGCTAATGGAGTGTAAATCTATGCATTGAGCTATGACGTGTGACTGTAATAACTCGGTTTTATTTATTGCACAGTTAAATAATGAAAAAAGACTAATAACCCATTTAGGAATATTTTTACTTCAATTTCCAGTTACAAGAACGGCCAGTGACAAATGACCGTGAGTTACCCGTCAGCGTTAAGTCATGCGACAAATCTTATCAATCAAAATGAGCTGGCAAATAGCAAATATATAAATTTGATGATTGTGATCTTGACTATAGAGAATTTCACGCTACTAATCTGACAAAAATGAGGAACTAAAAAACTCAAAAAATTCGACTTTGAAGATGAGTTTGTGTTTTCGATTGGCAGCTCAGAAGCAGCTGCGCATCAGTGCATTCATTTCGTCATCGCTGTTCGCAATATTGCGACGCACAATATTTCAAAGATGCACGAAAAGCAATTTGAACGTCAACCGAAGACAGACAGGTTCACTATTAATTTCATTTATGGAAAACAATCGTACATTAAGTGCAGAAGGGATGTCATCTAGAAGAACCTAACGAGGTGGAAATTGATGAATTGTGAAATATAGGGGCATAGGAGCCTCGTAGAAGAAATCCATCACTGAGAATTTTCAAAAAGGCACAAATAATGACATGACTTATCCCTCTCTATACCAGATACCCCTCAATACGCTGCGCGGATTCGTGAAGGATTTTTTCCGCGAAGTTGGAAAGTCTGCGGAATAGATGTTAAATCTTTATCCGAATGAGAAGAACGGATCCTCCGTTGTAAATCATTATTCTACATTCAGTAATATACTCCCACCAGTGACAAATAAAGCATCAAACTATTGTAACTGTTAGAAGGGTTTCAAAGCTACAAATCTGGAAAGGACTCATACCTTTCTACATCAAAACCACGCGAGCTGGAATATCCATTCGGACAGACAACATGGTTACTATTTCGCTAGCAATGTCAATGCCCAAATTGAAATACTTCTCATTTCTACTTGCTTAATGTCATGTTAGAAGACAGATGCATATCTCGAATTTCTTCCATAGCTAGGGTTCTTCCACCCGGGCATTAATAATAGATTCTGTGCAAATACACCGTCTACAAATATCTTTATAGAAAAAATTGACAGTGAAATGTGGAGGTTTTTCTCTGAAAACCGAAATTCTGAGCGTGCTACAATTAATTAAGCTGCCTTCGTAATTTGTCATGTCACTGTCTTTCAAGCGAATAAATATGACTGAAATAAGAATTTTACATAGCGCATTGTAGAAAACATTAATAACGAAGAAAATGATTCTATGAAACAGAGACAACCTAAGATTAGTTCTTAGAAATGATAAGATTGAACACTCAATTATCTACTGATATTCTCGTTATTTATGCCTACAGCTACTCAATGTCACCCAAAACTGATGAGAAATAGAATAACTAGCTTAAGCAGTGTTTATTGCAGATTGTTCGCAAGTTTATTACGAGGTCTGAGAGCCGAGAAATGAAGCAATTAACGAATCCAGTAAAATCTTGTTCACGAATCTCTTTTATTACTTACATTATTCATAATGTCTTTGAATATTGATTAGTTCGAACAGCAAATTCTAGATCTTTTGTCATAAAAACCAAGTGAGTTTCACAAGCTGAAGAATTAAATATCCTCCACATTATAAGCAAAAGTATCCTCATTTTCGCCTGTCTTGCTATAAATCGCCCCCTGTAATTTTTCAGGAAATGTCATAGAATTCGATACTCATGGCTTATCATTTGTATAAATTCACCTAAGAGAATTGAGTGGTGAGCAAAAATACGACCGCGGACCAGTGTAAGTGGTGGCGCCAATGTACCTCGGTGGTATAGTGTAGCATGCGTCCTTGATATGGATGAAACGCGGGTTCGACTCCCGCCTGAGGTCGTATTTTTGCTCAAAACTCAAATCTCTTAGGTGTATATAAAACATCATAACACTTCGAAAAGGCAGTAAAGAAACACTGAAGATTTCGTGTATGAATACACTTTGGGGAGCCCTTTTGAGATGGAGCTTTATTTTGCATCCTAACTCAACATCAATGTTACACTACTTCAGCTACGAAAAAGTGATAATCTATTAAAAGATAAGCTTGTAAACAAACAAGTCTGTTGAAGTTCCAGTAATGCTTGAAATTTATCACTAGAATCACCGCCATTAAGCATTACACCATGCGAGTGAATGGTGTATGAACCTAGGCAGAGTCAACAACGTGTATAACACTTGTCCAACTGAAACTACCAAATTTTTTGGAATTTCACAGCGACAAAACTACGTATAAAGTCGGTTATATGAGTATCTCGCTCAGGCGGTGGAACTGGTAGACAATGAATTGATTTTACTTTTTATTTTAAACGACCGGTCACCAAAATTTTCTTTTTTGATAGTGCAGTTCCCAGTACTTCCAGCATTCGATTCGTTTTTTGTTTTCTTCTTGAATGACATGGAATACTGGTTGAGCATGTCTTTTTGCAAGCTCGAGGATAGCTTAGCTGTGGCGTCCCATAAAGCGTTGTTATTGACTGCCCGGGAGTATTGGGAAGTAGAGCTTGGCTCCACGCGCTCCGCGACGAGCTTCACAACCACTCGGCCATGGCTCCCGTTGCTAAGAGTTCTAACCATCATAAATCACATTCAAAAGCTGATGGGATCTCGGCAAATGAAACGCTGTTTGCAAGTTGATTGATAGGGGACTGGAAGTGCAGTGACATAAATGAAACGTCAAGCAACATGCATACAAATGACTGATCTTATCCATGGATATTGTGTCAGCATTTCATTGCCATCTTGGTTCGATCCCTTAATCATTCGAATCGAATGTCTGCATCGGAGCTATTTCCGAGAAAGTGTGAATATTGAAATAAATATGAAATGGAGTGGAACGACACGAGAATATTTCGCTTTGAGCATTTCTCCAAGTTTTTTTAGACTTATAAATCGACAAAGCTGCTAATATGCTTCGAATCATATTAGGATTCAGTTGTTATTAAGATATCACTATCACACTAGATAGGATATCAGACGATATTAGTATGGAAATAATATTTCGTCTATGAAAGAGTTTTTATTTCATAAAGTAATATTTTTATGTACATCTTTGGTACACTATTGTAACTTCACACATATATTTTCCCACTATTGTAACTTCAGACATATATTTTCCATGTCGAAAAAACGAATTGAATGCCAGAAGTATTGATCTCTGTACAGTGAAAAAAAACGCTGTGATAATTTGAATATAATATTAAATAAATATATGAATAAATAAATAATAAATAATAACGAAGCTAAAATATATATGAATACAATGAATATAATAAATATAATAATATTTACAAATAAATGAAAATAAGGCGGATAAACAAAGTAAAAATAAAAGTAAGTAGAATTCTTCTATGTTAACGTGTTTACATTGTTCGAGAGTAGCAAAAAACCATTCAAGTGCCGTGAAATGAGCACAGTAGTCCAGCTTTTTTATTCAAGTCAATCATTCATTATATTGTGAACGATGTTTTCGTTCGATTCAGGATGTACTGAGAGCGATGGAGCCCACTTGTGCAAATCGTATACGGAGAGGTAGAATACTTTCTCATAAAAACGCTTTTGAGCACGGAAAGTGCTGGAGTATCAATTGTCAACTAGAGAGGGAGAAAATCAGGTCGAAAAATGCCGTTTAATGTCACAATATGGAACCATTGCTTGACTAAGCAGCAGCAGTCGCAGAAGGAGCGTCGAGATGACCAGAAGTACTATTTCGTTATGATACTGTTCAGATACGTTTTTGCAATTCCAGAGTATCCAGCTGATCGGGATCACAGTTTGTGGACATCCTAGCCAATTATCTTATGATTCGGAAACGATTTCCGATACATTGTGCTGCGTAAGCCTCATCATCAGTCAAGAAATTCCGGATTGAAGATCATGTTGAATTGCCAAAATCGGTAACACTTTCGTCCCCATAAAACTCTCAACTCCTGGACTCTTTCGCCAGCTGCTCAAAAAATACCTCCTTAACAGCGCAACAGTGCCGATTAGCACATTGGCTTTTACAAAACCCAGCTGAGATCTTATAAATCACTTAGTGCTAAATCTGTCAGCTTACACTTTTGCTATAGCTCACCTGTGTAAATGTTCATCGGTGATTGACTGATGTCAAATGTTACTCCGCCAATTCGTGGACAGCAACGTTATGAACATGCTAACAGAGAGGTTACAAGCAGCAAAGTGCGGTGGCGTAATGCACAGTGAAGCAAACTTATATACAGAGAGAGCAGTGACAGCCATCCCGAATTTCAAAGAATAGGTGATATACAGCCATTTAAGTCCATTATTCACCCTTTTTCCTCTCGTTAAGCCCGTTAAAACCCACTATTTCATAACATACGCCTAAGCGGGATAGTTCGCTGTTTCAGAGTGAGCGCAATTACATCTCCAAAAGGGCTGTGAGGAGCAAGAAGAAAGTGGTGTTTTTACTTTCTATCAAACAGCACAGCTGAGATATATGTAGGTGCAGTGCAGGGTTTTTCCCATGGATTCTTCCATGCTCTTATGAGTGGCTTTCGGATGGGACCAAAGTCTTTGACTGATATCACCGCAGATCATAACACGGTCAACCATACACCTATATCCACGATCAGTTTTTGTATAGACACCTCCAAATGTAATTTAGCTGAGCGTCCAGGCAAGAGTCGTTGAACTTGGCACGTTTTTATCGGCATCACCACTTGAAACAGACGGTGCGACCGCGTATGATTGACAAGCGTTGATGAATTAAGAGAATGAGGTCGCCTGACCTAGGAATAGACGCAAACCGTTTGGAAAAAGATTTCGTCGAAGCTCAATTTTTTTCCTAAGTAAGCATTAAGTGCTATCATCTTTATTGTAATACATTATCTATCTGTACTATGAGAGATACAGAAGCATTGTTCCAATTATGAGACTTGAACTTCTGTGTAGCTAGATTTTGTTCACGGCAGTGTAATAGTTAGTTACTCGAATTTTTATCAAAATTCAGCAAGCATTTTGAAATGAAGTAACAATTTTACCTAAGAGTTTTTGCTCACCACTCAATTCTCTTAGGTATATAGAAAACATCATAGCAATGCGAAATGCATTGAAAAATACCATTAATTCCGAGTATTAGTAATCAGAATAGCTGTCAGCTCAACTGGGTTTATAAAGCAAAATCGCATACCCGACCAAACCTGTCAAAGGTTGGTGGCTGATAGCTAACATTGAGATGTTGAAGAATCAGTGATCGGGCAAATGTGTCTCGGTGGTGTAGTGGTTAAAGCACGCGTCCCCGAATAGGATGAAACGCGGGTTCGATTCCCTCCTGAGGCCGAGTTTTTGCTTAGCACTCAATTCTCTTAGGTATATAGAAAACATCATAGCAATGCGAAATGCATTGAAAAATACCATTAATTCCGAGTATTAGTAACAATTTTAATTTTTCATTTATTGCCTAATTTTATTTCCCACAGCATTTATGATGTAAAGTATGACCACATAAATACTGAAAGCCTTTCCAGCTCCAAAAAGGCATGGTGGCCGTTCGAGTCTGTATCACGTGTCACCTAGTCCGAGTCTATGATACGAAATTATCACTTCCCAATTCTGTTAATATCTAAGTATTCCTGCGCTTGAAATAGCAATGTATCTGAATTTTTGATCAGCATAAAAGTTTGCGAATATATATGGTTTCATGCAGAATCGTCGTCTGCATAATAAGGGTGAGAATCGCTGCTACGATGCAAGAAGTCTAAGTGTGGACGATAAACTGGTAAAAAGTGAAGTTAAGTTATAAAACTAATTTTTTTTCTGAGGCGTGCTAGCTTAAAATTGTTGAACTATATAGGTGGATTAATAGTGTAAGGAATTCAGAATAAAACGCTTGAAGTTTGACGTTTTTGTAGGAAACATTACGGCACTGAAAATATCGCATAGTAATTACAAGATCGTCTTTCTATTACCTTCACCACAGAAGAGGATTAGAGCACGATTCATTGAGGACTCATATAATTGTTGAATGCTAAAGCTGTTTTCTATAATGGAAATGAGATTGCTTTGCAATTTGGTGTTTGAGCTTACAAAAGAAGATTTGCGGAATCGAAAGACATCGTGCTACTGATGAGGCTGTATGCCGAAACACGTGTCTAGCACTGTACGAGCGCCATATCAGATCTCGCGAAGACTCGAGACATGTTATTAAAGTCATATATTATTGAGCGAACTCTATAGAAACAGTCGAATTCAAAAGTAAGATTCATTTTACCAGCCATGAGCTGCCGACCCTTGGTCACTGGCAGTGTAGGGAGAATTTATCACACGACGTGCGGTGAATTGTTGATTCGGCGGCGTTGAATCCTTTTATACGTAGGGGGTACATCCTTTTGCGAGCTACTGGCCTAACTAAAAAGCACTTTGCTACTGATGATGAGAATGTAATCCCGAAACACGTGTTCAAAAGTGTATAAGTGCCATACCACACCCCATGAAAGGCTCAAGATTTGTTACCAGGTTGTAAAAAGGTTTAGTTAGCTCTACTGTAGCTAAGTTGGCCTTTCGAAGCTTTGAAGAAGGTGAAATCAACCGAAACGTCAGCTGCTCTTAGGGAGTAGTGGAATAAAAACTCCGTTGGTATTTATCAAGAAATCATCGCATTGGAAACAATTCAAAAAGACTACTCTTCCGCGATGTTGTACATGTAATTTTTTACAGTATCTAGCATTTTTATTTCACTTAGTTCAATTTTCTTCTGAGCTTTCTATGTTTCCAATGTGAAATGTCATTCGAATGTAGGCACAGACATCGTGCAATCTAAATACTGTACCCAATGATATGACTGCATCATGAGCTGGCCAACCTCACCATCGCAACGAGATCGT